ACTTTCAGGTCTATTTAAAGCTAGAAAAAGAAAGTCATGCCAACTTGCTCATCGAGTATACCGCATTCAAAGCTTTGAAAAAGCTATAAGAAAATGTTTTAGGACAAAGCTAAGCTGAGATAGAGCAGGAAAAGCTCTTCAAATGGCATTCATACCGATTGCAGTTTTTCTGGGTTTCAAGGAAAATAGAGCATCCAAAAGTGGAGTGTCAAAAAACGACAGAACTTTTTGAAACGCCTAATATAATGCGCTAAGTCTGTCTGTCTGTCTGTCTGTCCGTCTGTCACGAAATTCCGGTATTAAGCGAACAACAACCTACTGGGTCCAGGTCAAGTTTGGGATGGGTGTACCATATCTCGAGAAGTAAAAAACATATAAGCGGAGCCCCGCCCACAGTGGGCGTGGCGTGCGTCGAAATGAGTGGTACTGAGGACCATGATTTCAAATTCAGTCACAAAACAGCCTCGAGACTGGGGACAAAAGTGGGTATAGGTGTGCGTTGGTAAGCCAGATTGAATTGGGAGACCCACCCTCGGTGGGCGGGGCGTTCTCTAAAAAAGCGGTGCTCAATATTCATAACTCGGTTAGGAGGAAGCCTACAGAGCAGAAAACAAATTAGTGTAGGGAGCAATGTCTAAGGTATTTCCAGCATACATGATGTGAGCGGAGGCCGCCCACAATGGGCGGAGCGTGTCCTGAAGTAGACGACGTTTTCTACAAGAGCTTCATAAATCGGTTCCGAGATGACCTAGAGGCCGGGAAACAGTGGATAGAGGAACTTAGAAGGAGAAGGAGGAGAGCTAATGTCAAGGCTGGGCGTGGGGTACACCAAAGTGGGACCGGAGTTTGCAACCAGGCTTATAACTCGGTTTCTGGAAGTCCCAGGGAATGGTAAAAAAAAAGTGGAGAAGGGTTGGCGGAGGGAAGGGGGTCAACACTGTTGGCGGGCGGTATGTTAAATTGGGGAAGGTTTGTCACGAAATTTCATAACTCGGTTCAAGAAAATTCGGAGAGTTGAAAGAAGTTATAGGTTGGGAAAGAGATGTAAGTCATCTGCTATTGCAGGGCGTGGCATGCACCAAAGTGGACAGGGTTTGCCACGAAGATACATTGCTCGATTGATTGTGCTTTCTACAAAACCTCATAATTGGGCTCCAAGATGACTTAGAGACGGGAAAAGACGTGTACAGAGGTTAGAGAGGGGTTTAGTGTAACGATAGCGTGGTGCATGAGTGAGCGAGTTGCTTATCACTCTTATACATGTTGGTTTTCTGCGGCTTACGCGAGGGGATAATTTGGATAGTGTTGACGGAAGAAGTGTGGTTTAATGCTCTTTGGTGGTGACTGCATCGACCAAAGTGGCGGGGTTTCCAGAAATTCGGATCCTTGCGTCTCTACAAACCTCAATAATCCTATTCAGAAGTTGAGGAAAGAAAAAGTGGATAGGTAGAGAGGAAGGGGAGATTTAAGTGTAATGGTGGTGCGGCGCGGCAGAAAGCGGGCGGAGTTTGTTACGCAGAACCGCCGAAGGCGGAGATGCGAGAAAGTGGTATCGAGGTAGAGGAGAAATGAGGTGTAAGGTGCTATCGGGCGGGCGGGACCGCGCACAAGTGGCTTAGTTTTTGCACGAAGAAACATCATATCTAGTCCGAGCAGTCCTGGAGACGGAAATAAAGTGGATAGAGGTTTGTCGAAAAAGGGGTAAGTCTAATTGGTGGGGTGGAGGTGGCATTGAGAACGGCTGCCGGACTTATAATTTTGGTTAAAAGTTCCGGAAATCCGGAAAAAAGGGATGAGTGAGGGAGGGAAGACTTAGGGTGTTGGTGGGCTGGGTGTTGCGACCAAGTGGGCTGAGTCTCTCAGAGGATCAGGAATATATATGATGACTATTATATGAGCGGTGAAGTCCATGGTGGTCGGAATGCGTGGAGCAACTCTCTTTAAAATAAGCTCTCAAATATTTGAGGGGTATCCTTCTTCTATTTATAAAGCGCTAACTTTGTGTGTCGGTTTGTGTATCTGTATGTGTGTGTGTGTGTGTGTGTGTATGTATGTATGTGTGTCCGTCCGCAAAATGAAGTGAGTGAGAAGGAAGCTCATGGGATAAACAAACCGCTAACAAATCGGGTAGCTTACAGGATTTGAGATATCAATGTTTTGTAGCAGGATAGTTGTGATAACACTCTTAGGGCTATATAAACACCTGCTTAGCACACTTCCGTTCATTCCACATGGTGCTGCAGTGGCAGCTGGAGGGCAGTGGAGAGAGGAAGGGAGGATGAGGAAGGGAAGCGAAAAATCTACCGTCATATCATGATTGTGTCCCTTCTACTGTATGAAACACCATTGTGTTGCATACGCGTCACTTCCAGGAGGTGTTGGTGTCACAGGAGGAAGGGACCATAGCGGAGGATAGAAAGCTTGCGCAGGAAAGGAAGGTCCCGGCGGTTGACGGGGACTAATCTAATCTGGTATAATATAATAACGTTATCATGAGGGCCACGGTCTTTGTGTTAGAATGGTGGTATGACTCTTAGGCTGGATTCCCACTCTCATTTTCGAGGTCATCGGCAAGGAGGTGTATATTTTGCTGTGCTCTAAGACGATCTTTTTGCTTTTTTCGATGAATGGGCATAATTTCGGTATCTCACTTTCCTCTGAACCAGCCCATTTATATAATCCCTTCAAACATGTGAGCCCGAAGGGAGGAGGGCAACGATAAGGTAATGGATACTGCTGGAGGGCAACCGCAGTCATAGTAGAAGCTCCTCCGGCAGGAGCACCGACAGCAGTCATTGTTGAGCGTCCACCTGAACTTGAAGGCGAATTTACGACGAAAAGTTAGCTCATTGGAAATAAGGGTAGAGGTAGTCAGTGGAGCAGGGACACAGGAGAAACCATGTTAAACTGTCTCTAGAATGGGACCACTTCTGTGCCCGTTGATTTGCGCATAGATGCGACCTGTCGTTGCTTTGCTCTTATACCTACCTTCGTCTATGTAACTGCTAAATATCGTCTGTATAGAGGCTGGCAGGAATAGATTGTATGGTGGGCTATGTTCTGGCCAATAGCGCCGCGGCAAGGCGATGCTATTGATGCGGAGGTTCAATTTTTCTCGCAAGTTAGGGTGTCGTCCAACACCTCAGGAAACCCCGATTGTTTGCCACTGCTAGCTTTTTCCTTTTTCGATTCGTTTTATGTAGGAATCTTCACTTTATTTTGATTCTGGTTGAAAGTGAGATTTGTCTCCATTTTTTATGGAGCAATGCACAGTGATTTGCAGTTCCAATTGATTCAGAATACCGAACACCTTCTCTTTAATGCTCCTAGCGTTAGTTTCCCGCGCCAGTCCGGCAGTCGGTGTAAATTGTCGAGTCGTTGAAATTCGATCATGTGCGGGAGCTTCTACTGCGGTCATGACTTCAATGGGGTCTTTCTTGATCTGACTTATGTCTTTTTGGGCCTCTCGCGCCTCGCTGGCTGCGCTTCAAAGTCCATCATTTTTATCGAGTGATCCTCTGGCCTACGTAGCACGTGTCCGTACCATCGCTGGTTGCTCCCATCACCCTGAGCTGGGCAGGGAGCAGTCTGCATGACCGCTCTGACGTCCTCGTTTCTACCCTGCTAGTTGCGTCCAGTCGCAGGCTCACCTCAGCATTCTCATCTCAGCGGAGTGAAGTTGCCTTCCGTAATTATTGTTCAGGGCCAGCTTTCGCTGCGTATAGCATCGCAGCCCTTACCGCTGTCCGATACACGTTTCCTTGGATAGTTTCGGAGCACCTTATGACAGGATTCCAGTGGACTCACTTCACTTCATCCATGCATGATCCGAGCGGTCACCTCCTGATCTACACCACCGTCAGCAGCCAGATCGCTCCTAAGGTATTGGAAGTCCCCCACTCTTTCGACGGTTCCACCCTGACCTTCCACGATCGGCTCTGTACCCTCTCCTTGACATTCAGCCAGACTCCCGCAACCTTCTGCCAGGAATTTCTGTATCTTGGCTTGACGTTCTTCTCTGCTTGCTATCACGGCGATGTCGTCAGAGTAAAAGATGGTCTTGTGTGGTTTCCATGAGCCCCAGAACATCAGATGGAACAAAAAAGGGAGGAAGCTCAGAAATGATCTTGGCGTTCCAAGCGTAAAAATTCTTACTGTTAGCCTGCGGAGTGGCTTATTGGCATAGCCTCGTGCAGTATTCAGAAGAAATCAGATGTTCTCGCACGTTCTTACATTCTGAGCGGATTTCCAGAGCTTGCTCGCAGTAGATGGTTAAGCGGTTCAAGGAAAGGTAGGTGCGCCAGCGCTTGATTCTCGGTACTTCCATCCTTGCTGACGGTGAAGAATGGCATCTGTTGTAGATGTCCCCGGCATGAACCTGAACTGTTCCTGGGAGATGGGGACCAGCTCCCTAAGTCTTGTGAACCGACCACTCGCTCAACTTCATGGTATGCGCAGTTGATTAGTCAACCTTCGAGGAGTATCTACAGTGTGGAAAAGCCCGAGATATGGAAACAGTCTGGTATGTTTGTGATACAGCAGCTGACGTATCTATCTTCTCATTTCAAACCGTAAACATCGATGGTGGTTGTTCCAAGCATAGTTGGCATAGCACTCTAGAGTGGAGTTTTTAGACTGGTACTTACCATACGAACTAATTTCTCTGAATATTTCTTTATCATATTAAGCATCTTGAAGAGGCTTCGCTCTCATCTTCCCATAGAAGGCAGACACGTGAAGGCGCGCAACCTGGTGGAAAGATATTACTGCAGCGGTTCTAGGGTGCTACCTTTTATCTGAAAAAGTAGTGTGGAAGTTTTACGCCAAAACTATCTGGGAATACCCCGTGTGGGATACCTCCTACTCGCGCTCATGTCGCTTACGCGCTCGCACCGCATCGCCAAACATCATTCATGTTGTTTTCAAGAATATTCTTGGAGTGACTACATGCTCGCTGTACTAGTTCGACAGCAGTATTATTGAAAAAGATAACGCATACCTGCTGGCGCACCAATTGCAGTCATCGTTGAACCTGGGCCTCCTGCAGGAGCACCCACTGCGGTCATCGTTGAACCTGGGCCTCCAGCAGGAGCACCAACTGCGGTCATCGTTGATCCTGGGCCTCCCATTGGTGCTCCTACTGCAGTCATTGTTGATCCTGGACCTCCCATTGGTGCTCCTACTGCGGTCATTGTTGAGCGCCCTCCTGAAAATTTGTTAAGATTCTTCCCCGAAGTTATACGAAGCAAAGTTCTCAGAACTAACCTGCGGGAGCGCCAACTGCGGTCATAGTTGAAGCACCTCCTCCCATTGGTGCTCCTACTGCAGTCATTGTTGAGCGTCCTCCTGAAAATTTGACTAGGTTCTTCTTCGAAGTTCTACGGAGCAGTTTTTAGATTAACCTGCGGGAGCGCCCACTGCGGTCATGGTTGAAGTACCTCCTGCTGCTGCTGAAACTCGAAGGAAATATAGCTCTTTTACGACAGAGGGAACTCATAAGAACTCACGCATGGGGGCGGCACCACCGCCAACAGGTGCCGCACCAGCTGCGGTTGGATTAACAGCAAAGTATGCTGATTGTGCTCCAGGCGCTCCTGCACCTCCTGCTCCGACACCAAAATAGGCAGACTGTGCACCGGTCCCGCCAGCCGGCGCACCTCCTCCACCTGGCAGTTTTCCACCTCCAGCGCCTCCACCGCCGCCACCACCTACGCCGAAATACTGAGATGTGGCTCCTGGTGCTGAGCCACCACCGGCTCCAATGTAGACAGAAGTCATGGTAAAGCAAGTAAGATGACGAAGATTATGCCCACCTATCCTCACACTTCCCTTTTATACTCTGATAGCTCAGTGTTTTTCATGTTTATCATTCGAAATGAACTTAATGTTGGTGCTCACCTCTCAAATACTGGTAGTAGGGAAAATGAAATGATCATTTCTTGACAGTAGTGAATGGGCGATCATCACCACTCTCCCTTAACGTTTACATTTCAGAAGCTAACAATAAGTACAGTTTTCGAAGGTCTCACTTCAGTGAAATTACTCTGCTGGGCAAATAGGTTCAAATCTCCGTCGACACAGAGTCATTATCCCTCAGGCAGAATCACGTAAGCTGGAACATAGGATGCGCAATACTGCCACTAAGCGTTTCTAGATTGACGTTGCGTGGTATAGGTCAGGCATTGGCTCTCATTTCCTTAGAGGAGACATTCAAAGTAGGTTAGAAACCACTGATAAGTGACACTGGGACTAAGCCCAGGAGATGGAGAAACGCCAGGGTGAACAGAGGTTGCTCACATCCACCCACAGAATCCCTTCTCCCTAAGGCTCAGTCCCAAGTTCTGAAAGTGGTTCACCCTCTTCAATGCCATA